CCCCCCCCCCATCTAGACCCTTAACTTCGTAGGGAATTGTAAACTCCGTAAAATATTTATAATTTTCAAGATTGTGTTCTTCAAAGTTTTGACGAAATAAGTCCTGCCGCACCAGGGAATGACAAGCAATCAAAATCCAAGAAAGACTACACATGGATGCAGGAAAATGATAAGGTCACCATCGTGTTTCCTTTACCCGAGGGAGCCAAGAAAGATGATCTTTCGTATCAAATAGACACAAGACATATTAAAGTTGGTTTAATAAATGGGGAAACCTTTCTTGAGGGTGATCTTTTTGGTGATGTGGAAGTGAAGAAGTGTGCGGTGACATGGAAGTCTATTGAAACACAAAGGTATGTTGTGGTGGTTGCTGAGGATCAACCACAAAGTGGCTTGCACAAATTTTTCACTTTTTAAGTCTGAACAAAGTAGTCAGCCATCAAGTAAAAGCATGTTACTCTGACTTTCATTAGCAGGCTTAACCCATTTCTCTTGACGAGTAGAATCATCTGGCATTAGCAGAATAAAATAATAAAGTAGGGTGCAAATATACAACTTAATGGGTTAACTAGACACATGGGCAGATAGTTTGAAACCCATTGAGCACCAGTACTCTCCCCTTGACAACTAAAATTATCTGGCATTAGACAGAGTAAAATAATAAAGTAGGGTGCATTAGGGTGTAATGAAACTTAATGGGTTAATGGTATAGACACATGGGCAGATAATTAATCCATTGAGCACCAGCTAATGGTATAGACACATGGGCAGATAATTAATCCATTGAGCACCAGCTAATGGTATAGACACATAGGCCAGTTAATAGCCCGCGTGCAGGCCCAAGGGAAGTTCCCTTCAGCCTGCTCCCTTGGGCCTGCACACGGGCTAGCCAGTTAATGGTATAGACACATGGGCGGATAATAATCAATTGAGTCTGATTAACCCATTGAGCACCAGCACTCTCCTTGGCAAGTAAAATCGGCTGGCATTAGACAGAATAAAGTACCGGAGAGCACAAAAAAGTTATTTTTTATTTCATTTAACTTAAAAACTAAAAGAGCTATAATTTATTACACCTAAACCAGGTGTATTGCATTCAGATTTTGATATAGCCCTGTGCATCTTCATGCCAGTAGTCTGGCGTTAGACAGAGTAAATACTAAAGTTTGGTACATTGGGGCGCAATGCAACTTAATGGCTTAGCTCGGCAGTTAGAGATGTTTGCAAGACAGCTGCAGAT